AAATTAATTATTGAATTATATAAAAAAAATTCGATTACATAAAATATTAAATTTTATAAATATTTATTTCATATTCGATTTATTCAATTATTAATAAATTATTTAATTATTAATAAATATGTATGGGCCGACTTCAGACATTTAGTGTGTTGGGCCAACTGTGGCCCAAGTGACAGTCGGCCCAGATCTGGTTGTTGACGCTGGATCTGGGCCGGCTCAACAAGCCGAATGTTCAAAGCCGGTTTCAAAAATCGCCTGTTAACAGCCGAAATTGCAACACAGCGTCGGAAATGGCCAGTTTGGCGACTTTAAGCTCCAAAAACATCAAATCAACTCCCTCAAATACTTTTAAATCAACTCCACAACCACGCAACACTAAATAAAGTAAATAAATGTAATTAAATTCGAACTAAATCTATAAAAAACCCATCTATGAAAAACTCCATTTTAATGACAACAACCAATTTTATTAGTCGTCGGTGATCGTGTCGCCTCTTTGTCGATTTTTAGGTAGTCGGTTTCGTGAATTTCTTGGGTCGATCAACGGTGAGAGGGGCGGTTTGAAAAGAGAGTCGTGAGTGAGAGCTTTCCTTTTGACAAAGTGAGGGTATTTTTTATTTTTTCCAGGTAAAGCTATATTTTCACCTTTTTTTTTTTTTATTCTATATCCTAATCAAAGGTTACTTTGGAAATACATAATAGTGAAAAAGTTATTTCCATGTATTTCCTCAAAAAAATTGATTCCTCATGGGATGTAGAAATTCAACTTTAAGTGGTCCAAACCCTACAACCGTAAATGGTCCTCGCTTTCTATTCTCACCTTACAGTGACTAAATTGTCTCTCATATTGTGGTGGCAATTGGACTAGTTGGCTCGTCAGTTTGAAGGTTGGTTTGTGCGAGTCCAGGCTCAGACCACGTGCAACTTGTTTCTATACGAGCCTGGACTTAAGCCGAGCTCAAATTTGGGCCAAATGGGTCAATTTGAGCTCATGTGTCTAGGCCCAAGCTCAAGCTCAACGATCTAAAGATGAGCTGATTTGTTTTTCGGCTGAATTCAGGCCTAAATTTGTTGTAATAATTGTTTTTAAATTGTTTCCGTTGTGATTTCGTCATGTTGTATTTGTAAGGGTAATTAGCACAAAACGTTCGTATCTTTCATTGTTGCTGTGCAACACATTCATATCTTCCATTTTCTGGTATTTTCATCCTTAATTACACT